TTTTATGTTTATTCGGTTAAAGCTTGTTGCCCTGAATCCAAAAATATATAGTTTCTAGGGTCTTTTTTAAATACTTTATAAGTTAAAGCAGTTTTTTAAACACTACTCTAAAACTTCTGATTTCTGGGCAGCAAGTTTCAGCTCACTTTTATATTTTCTTCTTTGTTAACTTTTCCCACAAAAACTTCAATAACTCTGCTTAGACTTGACATAGAGGCATGAAAGAGGCACCGTTGGAAAGGGTTTTTCAATACGGATGCAGCTGTACTTGTTTTATGAGGATAAAACGATTTTGAAAATTTGACCAAAGTTGCTAGCTTGATTTTTTTTCCTTGGCCCGCTACGTAATTGCGTAGTGACTGTAGGATCTGTTAGTAGCTGGGATATTAGTTGCACCATTTCACTTTCATCACTGGGCAGACACCATCCGATTTTATCAGGATTTGTTCGCGGCGTTAAACTTCCCAGTTGGTTTTTGTGTGGGATCATCTTTTTTCAATTATCGACAGGAATGCCCCTGAGGATAGAGGATTTTACAGAAACACAACAGAAGGCCAACATAGGTTACCAAATTGAAATAGCTTTCATTCGAAGCATCAAATATATACATAGGGGGCTATCCTCCAAATAATAGGCACAAAAGATGGCGTGTCAATTGCGCACTTCCGGGAACTATTCCGCCACCGCCGAGAGTATCTCCTACGCCACTCACGCGGCGTGGATTGGGGCTAAACTAGATGGCTAGGACTCACGAGTAAATAAAATGAAGGAAGTTGCAGGAGATGCAGTAGCTGCTGCTTGTGAGTCCCAGCCATTTAGTTTAGCCCTGCTCCACACCGGGTGTGGGAGATACTCTCGGCGCTGGCGATAGTCACCGGAAGGCCGCAATTTACAGGTGATTGAGGCCCTGTCGGGGTGTGTTTTTGGGCCCCATAGTATGTGCCCATTATTCGGAAGATAGCCAAAGAATCAAATGGTTTGGTCCTCACATCAGAATGGAACTAGAGTATCTACATGAGAACAGCAGACTTCAAGGCAAGAGGCCGACTAAGAAAAACATAGGTGGATGAAGTAAAAGAAACACTACAGAAACGCAGTATAACATTAACACAAGCTACTCAATTAGCAAAAGACAGGAAAATACATCAAACTGGGAAACTCCTCTCTGTGAGGCTTCGTGGCGTAAGCAGTAGTACAGAAGAGGTTGCCCTAGAAAACCCATCCAGGGTAACTGCATGTGTACTGATCCTCAAGGGAAGTCTAGGGTCAGATCACGGCATTCCATGCCATCCAAGAAGGCTTCCATAATGCAGATTCGACACATGACACTCTGGCCCGGGGCACACAAAAGAAATCATCACGTGCTGCGCCCCTTTGTAGGTCAACAGGAAGCAACCTGCAGGTCCTGGAATTTAATGACCACAAAGTGGCGCGGTGATTTATGTCACAGGCGTGAGGGAAAGTTAAGCCCAACATGATGTGTATAAGGAGATACTCCGTACGTCACTCGGGCGCCAGTCCTTTAATATCCTGGTTGTACGGAACCTCACGCAAGACCCCGGCAGCACGTCCTCGTCGTGCGCCACGGATAATGTCTCAAATGAGCATTAACAGAGCTGTCAGGGGATCTCAGAGTTTGGCGGCCCCCAGATTTTATGTGTCCTTGTGGCTCTCATCAGCCCGCCCCCAAACGCTTGGGTGAAAAATTTTATTATAACTCATTAGGAACATTAGTAGGTCTGCCAAACGTACAGCCAAAATTACAACCCTTGGTTAAAAGACTGCGGAGTAAAGAGAACATTGTTCACTGCACATCCTCTGTTAACCCTCAGTGTCGTCGTCACCGCGCTGGGGTACACCACAACAGCAACCATCCAAAGGCTGGCCATTCATGTACATCCTCGGTTAACCCTCAGTGTCGTCGTCACCGCGCTGGGGTACACCACAACAGCAACCATCCATAGGCTGGCCAATCATGTACATCCTTGGTTAACCCTCAGTGTCGTCGTCACCGCGCTGTGGTACACCATAACAGCAACCATCCATCGGATGGCTAAGCCTAAATGTCCGACAAAACTAAATCATACGGATCAAAATCTGCCCTCAAAATTTGTATTGAACTGAAAAAGACCGAATGTCCACACCCAAAGAACCCACTCGCCCGAGTGTTGGGACAAAACTGATATGATATGCCTGGAGCAGGATGTAAAATTCTGTCGGGCTAACGGCTCGTCAAAGAAATCTAACGTGCGAAGAAAAAAGAATGTACCTATCTGTGTGGTCACAAAAGTCCAAAACCCACGGGCTGCTCCCCGCTGACTTCCAGAGGGCGCAGCCCCTGTCGAGCGGGAGGCCTGATACGGTTGTGAGGTTAAGCAGTCATGAGCAGGACGTGACGATTCCTTGGGTGAGCCCAGAACCAGAGCGCCATGTGCCGGCTCTGCATACATGGATGCCTCCTTGGATGGCGGGGAATGCCCATGATCTGCCCCTGCCTTCCCTTGAGGGCTAACTGCTCCACAGGGGACTGACCCAAAGGGGTACTCCGGGGGCAATACCTGCGGCACAGGAGACAATGTGGACACCACACAAATCAGGCAACGTCTCGACCCACACAAAACAATGGCCACAGTCACCCTAGAAATAGGCCTGACGTCTTCCTTCGAAGTCGGCGTACAGCTGCCCATGAGGCAGGGAAATGAAAAACGGTTGTACACGCAAAAATCAGGTCCAGGTGAAAGCCAAAAGTCCAAGCGGACGATTACCTGACCTTCCACTGGAATTCACAGCCGGTGTTCGATGAAAAAAAAAAAAAATGACCACAAAGATGGGCATAATCTCCTTCAGCACGTTAGACGCCTTTAACAGAGTTGTATCGGGATACCTAGCATCGTAGTATCAGAAAAGCATGCATCAGGCATGAATTCTCAGTTTGGTCCTGACACTCCAGCGAGTAGGGACAGGGGTAGTGGACATTTGAATCTTGTCTGTCACATAATGGGGCCTTTGAGATTCGGAATTCTGAACCTTGCCTTTTACATGTAAAGACATGAGATAGTTGGACATCTTCTTCACGTTCGCCAGCTGTAAACTCTGGTGGAAAGTTCTGGTTGTTCGTCCTCTTCTGGACTGTAGCCCTGTTCCAGAACCTGAGTGTGCATCTGTTTTACAGATCTCACTCATTTGTATGCGGACTGCTGGTTCCTTGCCCTTTAGGCAGATGCATTCCAACTTCGAAGGAAGCTCCCAATTAGTCGATGTGCGACATGCTTTTTGTTAGGCAGTGGGGCTATTCTTGTTTTCCCTATAAAAGAGCCCCGGAACCCACTCGGGGAAGTTGGACATCTAAAACTTGCTGTTGTATAGTAGGACAAGAACTGTTAGATACCGCCCACTGATGTTGCTCGTCCGACTGAATCTTGGTCTAGGGCTTAGTCTCAATAGCTCACAATGGGGTAGTTGCTCAGCTGATTATGACACCCCCCCCCCCCCCCCCCCCCCCCCACACACCCTAACTCCTGATGGACATGAACCTAGTCAGTAGGGCTTTAACAGACCTTTGAACCAAGGTTTAATATTTAAAATGATATTTTGTCAGCAAGCTTTACTCATGTTTGCAAATGAGTTTTTTCCTGGGGATGGGCTGACGAGAGCCAGAGGATTTCTGGGCGCTGCATCTCTGAGGACCACTCCTCTATTGCAGAATGTGTAGGAACTTTCTGACAGTATGGAGGATATGCTTCTGATACTAGTTGGCTGTTGCATTTTCCTCCGTATGTAGACTGAAAGGATATAGTCCTGTTGCCCGGCTGAGTTGAATGCATGGAACACAACTGAGATGTCAATTTTATTATTTGGAATGGTTTTCGACTGTATCCACCTGGTTTGTGTTCTGGACTACAGATTCAGAAACTGGCGAGTGGCCTGTTGCAACTGAACTTGTTATGCCTTATGTGATTAATCGTGTGTGCAACTGCTGATCTGTTGTAACTACTGCTTCCATTGATGATGAACTGCATTTCTAGCATCTTCCTATATTGGCACTTCTGATGGCTGCCTTATGCATTTAATGGGTTTGCATGCTGTTGGATTTATTGAGACTGCAGTCTGTCAGTTTTTCCACAAGAGACAGTGATGGACATTGTTTTTTTTGGCACAGGAACGGAACAACAGTGGGGGTGATCTGATTGCTGTGGAACTGCAATTACCTGAATTAGGGCCTGGCCTATAATCAGTATCATGTCTTAGAAACTGAGATACTTTAACCATATTAAATGCTCCAGGGATCTATAAACTAATAAACAGTTTTCAGAGGCCCCATTATATGGGAAAATAACAAGTTTCACTGCCTCCACAACGAGCCTGTTGTAGGACTCGACTAAATAGGGAATTTCTTCGAAATCGGTGTGCATCTGCCTGAGAGGCAAGGAACCAACAGTCTGCATATAAATAAAGCACGTCTGTACAAGAGATGTGCACAAGTACATGAACTAAAACAAGACTAAATTTGGAATGTGGATGAACAACCATAACTTCTCGCCAGAGTTTAAAATCCAGTGAACACATTGTAGTAGTAGCTTAGGAGGTTTGATTGTTGGATGAAGAGGCAGATCCCAACCAGCTTGAATGTGGACACCTTAGAAGTGGAAATACACGCGACAGGAAAATTGAATATATTGGATGCTTAACTCAAACCATTATTAATAATATATTTAACCCCCCCCCCCCCCCCCCCCCCACACCAAATTTTTTGTTAAAACTGTGCTTTGAGTTCATTGTTGTTGGTTGTGAAAAGCTCTTGATAGTATCAACAACAACAAAAATCACTGTTAAATTCAGTAGAAAACATTTGTGATAATATTTAGTAAACGTTACATTCTTTTTCTGTAGAAACCAATCAAAAAGGAGTTGATGCAAATGATCAAAGAATTTGTTGTTCAGACAAGTGCAAGCCAAAAAGATGCCGCCAGGAGTGCAAAAAATTTTGTCCAGTGGTGCGGATGGGTGAGTATTACAAGTTAATAACAGAATTGTGATGTTTGTCAGACTTAAGGAAGCAGTTTCTTTCCTTATTAGGGTTACCACCAAGATAAATGAAAACCACGCCATAGACAAAGGTGGAATGACAATATACAAATTACAGCAGTCGGTGGGGTTTATGATAGTGATGAGAGCCAGGGTATTGGAGATTTTTGGTAACAGAACCTTGCAGTGAGTATGATGATTGATATACATATGCTGTACATCAACTTTTAGTTTAAGAATTTTGAAAAGCATAATAGTTCTTCTTAGCTTTCAACGAATGGTTGTTTATCCATTCCTAGACTTTGATCTTGACCCAGAGTTTTTAATGTACATCTGTAAAGTAAACATGTTTTTGAGTTAAATAAAATACATGTAATTTGATTTTTCACTATACCCTAACCTTCTTAAATTATTAAATAGACTGAAAGAAGCACTGAATACTTCACATAGTTGTGGAATATCATACCCTGCTATGAAATAAAGTTGAAGAAATCAAACTATGCAATTGGTATGATATGTAATCTTTATTTTAATAATTTTTATTGAATTCTATAAGTATATATCCGTACCTTCTTAGCAGCCTTACCTAAAAACTTTTGTAGAGTTGAAGTTTCGTCTTCTTTCTTGTTTGTGTTCACCAGCTGTAAACTCTGGCAAAAAGTTCTGGTTGATTGTCCACTTCTGGTCAGCAGTCCTGTTCCAGAACCTAAGTGTATGCATTCGTTTTACAGATCTAACTCATTTGTATGCTGACTTTTGGTTCTTGCCTTTCAGGCAGATGCACTTTGAAGGAACTCCTAATCAGTTGACCCTGACGACATTCTTTTTAGTAGACATTAAATCTAACCTCCCCCCCCCCCCCCCCCCCCCCAAATAATAGGTCCCTGGAACCCACACAGAAGTAAGAGTTGAAGCAAGTCCACTAAAACTCTGAAGAATAATTAAATTTTAATATTTATGTAATATCAGTCTAGCACGTTTTATGTTACAGAAAAATCATTTCGCTGTAATTCCATAGAATAATGTTATATCAGATACCCATACTATCTTAGCATATGTTTGAAACTAAAAGAAATATTTAATACATCACATTATAATGGAAAATCATACAATGCAGTGTTTTCTGTTTTAAAATCTGAATCTATAGCCATGTACATACCTTCTGACTTCAAATATTTTTTAAGCTGATATAGAAAAGTTTAAAGCAAGTACCACTTATTGAAATATGAAAATAGCTGTGGTGAAATCCAAGCCTCTCTAACTAGGGCACAGAATGACATCCAACTCAAGTGTCAAGAAGTTTGAAGCATGCAGCATGTGACTCAGAGTGACTGCCCCTGTGGTTTATTAAATAAATGGCCATAGATGTAATTACATATGTAGTTTGCAAGGGATATAACTCTAGCAAAATGTGCATGAGTGATTGTTGGTTAAAATGCCAAAACCAAGGTTGCAAATGTGACTTTTTGTGAAGACTATCCAGGATGATACATGTAAGTTTAACCCATCTACGAATTGTGTTTTCAGAGAAATGCATGAATCTTGTGTTTTTATATTATAGGTAAGCTGTGTATAGAAGTGTCCCCCACAGACAAGATTGCTTTTATTTCTGAAGAACTTTGTATCGGCTGTGGTATATGCTCAAAGGTAAGTTTCTGTTGACATAATCTGAAAGCTTTAATTCCTTTCTGTTTATGACAGAGTGGCACACAAGTGTTATGTCTGCCTCAAACTAGAGCAGCCCTGGTAGGATTCACCAAATAAATAACAATGGTATTCTTCATCATTTGTTCTAATGATGTAATTGCATTATGTCTGTTCACAACATAGCTCGGATATTTGAGCCTTTCTGCTGAGGCATCTGACTTCATCCGGGATTTGTTCACCGTTTGGTTTTGTGAACATAACGTAGCCTTATTTGTCTTCTTTGTCCCTTTAACTGCAATTTGTTGTCACTGGAAAACCAGTCCAAGACAACCTCCTGTAAACTGGTCAGCCCTTAGGGGGAGGCAGGGGCAGATATGGGCATTCCCCACCATCCAAAGAGGCTTCCATAAATGCTGAGCTGACACGTGATGCTGTAGTTCTTGGCTGACCCAAGGAATCATCACATTCTGCACATGAGCAAAGAATCGTATAATTACTATTAATTCTGGGTGATTTGGATATATTTTGATCCTTGCCTTTGCTGCCAAGTTGCACCGTGTTAAGTTCCTACTCATGTGATTTATGGGAGAAAACTGCAACACTGTTAGGAGCTTTCAGGTGTAGTGAAACTGATTCTTCACAAATGACAACATAATATTTATTCCTTTGTTTCCCGTGTGGGTTCTGGGGCCGTGTTATAGGGAAAACAAGAATGTATCCACTGCCTACCTAAAAGCATGTCGTAAGTCACGTGTGTTTTATGACAAATGAAGCAGATTAGGAACTGGAAAAAGTTTTGTAACCTTGGTATATCATTCTATAAAAGATACTTCTACATTTCTGATCATGAAAAGCTATAAGAATCTCCCTAAAAATATTTTTTTTTTTAAAGTCAGAACAGGTAGATGAAGTTAGTGGCATCATTTGTACGACATTTTACAGGATGCTCTTTTAGGCTTTCGGGTATGAATACCTGCCAAGGGATATTCCTAAATCTTGACGTGGACCAAGTAACCAACAGTCTGCTTACAAATAGGCCAGATCTGTAAAACTGATCTTTTTTTTGTTGTTGTTTTTTAAAATTATTATTCTAAAGAATCTTTTTACGTATAGTGATTTACAATCAAGGCAGCGCATTTTAGAAAGCACTGTTTTAGCAAATTTACGACAAAATCAACAGACATTTTTGAATAAAAAATTTTTTTAAACCGTGGCACGGTGATTTTGATCATAGGCACGAGAGAAAGTTAAGGACGTTGTGATGTGTATAAGGAGTTACTCCGTACCTCAGCCGACAAGACTCCTGTGACTGTTTGTGAATTGGCATTTCTGATGGCTGCCTTATGCATTTAACGGGTTTACATGCTGTTGAATTTGTTGAGACTGCAGTCCCTGTTTTTCTACAAGAGACAGTGATGGACATTGTGATGTTTTCATTGGCACCGGAACGGAACAACAGTGGGGGTGATCTGCTATCTGGGAAGTTGGAACTGCAATTACCCTGGCCTATAATCAGTATTATGTCTTAGAAACTGAGATACTTTAACCATATTAAATGCTGCAGGCATCTATAGAGAACAGTATTCAGAATAATACTTTTTTCTGGATCTTCTGCTCCATCTATATTTAGTCAGTCAGAAGCCAGGGTCATCCCCCTGTGGGTCCTAAAGCCCCATTGTGATGGGAAAAGAGGAGACCCACTGCCTAAAAGTTTTTTTGTAAAAGAGTACTTTTGCCTTAGAGGCAAGGAACCGACAGTCTGCATACAAATAAGCCAGATCTGTAAAACAGATGTACACCTAAAACTCAAGATCTGGAACAAGACCAAAGTCCAGAAGTGGACGAAAAGCTATTACTTTCCCCCCGTGTTCACACTCTGTGAACCCAAAGAAGAAGAGTAGCCAAGGTTCTGAAACATTTGCTGTGCCACTGAGGGAAAACACTCAATGAAATACACATGGGATGGAGTAGCCAAAATGTTGTTGGTCTTTCCAAGTCTGAGAGACCATTCTAATAGCATAATGGCAGGAAGATGTTAGTTGCGTATCCTTTACAAGACATTGCAGAACAAACCCCAGCATGTTTTGGCTGTTTTGGTTTTTCTAGGCAAATTTTACTTTCAGATAGTTTGCCATTGCTTTTTAAGCGGTCAGCAGTCTATACCACTGTCGAAACCAATGCAAGAAATACGGTCCAACGCTGGTATTGACCCCGGCATTACAAAGAGTGTTTGCAATGCTTATGCCGACAACTGCAGAAAGGCATCAAGAATAAAGAAAATCATTGACCAGAATGTAGAACTGGCAGTCTGCACCATAAAGTGCCATATTGGGCTGTTGTTGCCCATTGTGTCTCATAGTGGTGCTATATAGAAGTGACATTTCAGGAGTTGACACTGGAGACAGACCACGATGTTTTTATCTTTGTTTGCTCTTGAGAACATGTCTTTGTTTTACTCTCTTTAGCTTTTTTTTTTTAAATTTTTATTCCAAAGAATCTTTTTACGTCTAGTGATTTACAATCAAGGCAGCATATTTTAAAAGGCACTGTATTAGCAAATTTACGACAAAATCAACAGGCATCTTTGAATTTAAAAAAAAAATTTTAACCGCGGCACGGTGATTTTGATCATAGGCAGGAGAGAAAGTTAATTAAGGACGTTATGATGTGTATAAGGAGTTACTCCGTACCTTACATGCGGTCACAGCCGACAAGACTCCTGCGACTGTTTGTGTATTGGCATTTCTGAAGGCTGCCTTATGCATTTAAGGGGTTTGTATGCTGTTGGATTTATTAAGACTGCAGTCTGTCAGTTTTTCCACAAGAAACAGTGATGGGCATTGTGATGTTTTTATGAGCACAGGAAAAGAAAAACAGTGGGGGTGATCTGATTGCTGTGAAGTTGCAACTGCAATTAGCTAAATTAGGACCTCTCCTATAATCAGTATTATGTCCTAGAAACTGAGATACTTTAACCATATTAAATGCTGCAGGCATCTATAGAGAACAGTATTCAGAATAATACTTTTTACTGAATCTTCTGCTCCATTTAGTGTGTGTAAGTCAGAAGCCAGGGTCATCCCCCTGTGGGTCGCGCAGCACCATTGTGATGAAAAAAAGGAAACCCACTTGCCTTTCTAAAAAGCATTTGGTAAAAGTGACTTGTTATAGGTTTTCTTTAAAGTCGGAGTAGTAGTTGTTCGCCCACTTCTGGACTTTAGTCTTGTTCCAGATCTCGAGTTTTAGGTGTACATCTGTTTGCTATGCTGACAATGGCAGAAAGGCATCAATGATAAAAGAGAATCATTGACAACAATGTAAAACTGGCAGTCTGCACCATAAAGTGCCATATTGGGCTTCTGTTGCTCCTTGTGTCTCATAGTGGTGCTATATAGAACTGATATTTCAGGGAGTTGACACTAGAGACAGACCACAATGTTTTTACCTTTGTTTGCTCTTGAGAACATGTCTTTGTTTTACTCTCTTTGGCTTTTTTGGTTGTTTATTTGAATTTTCATTCCAAAGAATATGTTTATGTAAAGTAATTTACAATCAAGGCAGCACATTTTACAAAGCACTGTATTAGTAAATTTACTACAATATCAACAGGCATCTTTAGATCCTTTAAAAAAATTACTATGGCTCATTGATTGTGATCATAGTCATGAGAGAAAGTTAAGGACGTTGTGATGTGTATGAGTTACTCCGTACCTATCATGGGGCGCCAGCCGACAAGACTCCTGTGACTGTTTGTGTATTGGCATTTCTGATGGCTGCCTTATGCATTTAACGGGTTTACATGCTGTTGCATTTGTTGAGACTGCAGTCCCTGTTTTTCTACAAGAGACAGTGATGGACATTGTGGTGTTTTCATTAGCACCGGAACGGAACAACAGTGGGGGTGATCTGCTATCTGTGAAGTTGAAACTGCAATTACCTGAATTAGGACCTGGCTTATAATCAGTATATGTCTTAGAAACTAAGATACTGTAACCATATTAAATGCTGCAGGCATCTATAGAGCAGTATTCAGAATAATACTTTTTACTGAATCTTCTGCTCCATCTATATTTAGTCAGTCAGTCAGAAGCCAGGGTCATCCCCCTGTGGGTCTCACAGCCCCATTGTGATGGGAAAAGAGGAGACACAATGCCTTTCTAAAAAGCTTTTTGTAAAATTAGACTTTATAGGTTTTTCCTTAAAGTCGAAGTACTTTTGCCTCAGATCAAGGAACTTATGGTCTGCATACAAATAAGCCAGATCTGTGAAACAGACGTACGCCCAAAACTCAAGAGATAGAGATCTGGAACAAGACTAAAGTCCAGAAGCGGACAGACAACTATAACTTTCCACATGAGTTTACACTCTGTGGACCCAAAGAAGAAAAGTAGCCAGGGTTCTGAAACATTTGCTGTGCCACTGAGGAAAATGTCCAGTGGAGTATACTGTTGAATAGGGCAGTCAAAATGGTGCTGGTCTTTCACAGGATCATCCTTATAGCATAATGCAGAAAGATGTTAGATGTTAGTTGCTCATCCTTTACAGGACTTTGCAGAACCAAATCTAGCATCTTTTGGGATTGACCCCAGCATTGCGCAGCGCCACTGACGCCGACAGCCGCAGAAAAACATTAAGAATAAAGAGAATCATTGACCAAAATGTAAAACTGGCAGTCTGCACCATAAAGTGCCACATTGGGCTGTTGTTGCCTCTTGTGTCTCATAGTGGTGCTACATAGAACTGATATTTCAGGAGTTGACACTGGAGACTGACCACTGTTTTTATCTTTGTTTGCTCTTGAGAACATGTCTTTCTTTCAGTCTTTGGCTTTTTTTGGTTATTTTAATTTCATTTCAAAGAATATTTTTTTTTGTAAAGTAATTTACAATCATGGCAGCACATTTTTTAAGGCACTGCATTAGCAAATTCACTACAAAATCAACAGGCATCTTTAAATTTTTTTTTTTTTACCGTGGCACAATGATTTTGATCATAGGCATGTGAGAAAGTTAAGGATGTTGTGATTTGTATAAAAAGTTACTCTGTACCTCAGCCGACAAGACTCCTGTGACTGTTTGTAAATTGGCACTTCTATTGGCTGCCTTATGCATTTAACAGGTTTACATGCTGTTGGATTTATTGAGTCTGCACCATAAAGTGCCATATTGGGCTGTTGTTGCCTCTTGTGTCTCATAGTGGTGCTATATAGAACTGACATTTCAGGAGTTGACACTGGAGACTGACCACTGTGTTTTTATCTTTGTTTGCTCTTGAGAACATGTCTTTGTTTTATTGTCTGGTTTTTTTGTTTCGTATTTTATTTGAATTTTTATTCCAAAGAATATTTTTGTGAAAAATAATGTATAATCATGGCACCGCATTTTACAGAGCACTCTGTTAGCAAATCTACTACAAAATATTTGGGTATATTTTAATTCTTTTTTTTTTAAATGGCACAATGATTTTGGTAGGCATGAGAGAAAGTTTAGGCTGTTGTGATGTGTATAAGGAGTTACTCCGTACCTAGCATTGGACGCCAACGGTCACAAGTCCTCCGCGTGGACCATGTATGTATAATGGCTCACCACTGTGACCTGAATGGGTTTGGCAGGAATCTCGGAGTTGGTAGCTTCTAGAGATGCAGTGTTCATTCTGGCTCTTATTAGCTCTGCTTTAAACAGGCACTAAGCATTTACATCACTCGGATGAACGAGGAGAGGAGAAGAAAAAAAATGACAGTGTCAGAAAAGGTGGATACATTCAGACCGAACAGTTAATAGAATTAAGCACAGCAAACAAAAGACGCATGTAAAGACACTAACATCAGTGCCTATTGACACATGGATATTTGTGAATAAGGGCCAATTGTGATTAACATTTGCTTAACCAGTGCCAGTCAGAAGACAGATTATTGGCCAGCGTGACAGTAAATGAAGCTTGGACTGACCATTATGACATCAAACCAAAACGGCCATCATGAAAATTGAATCTCTTGGGTACTCTGAGTGTGTTTTTAGAGTATGTCGACCTCATTATTGTTGAGATAATTTGACATCTGAAGTGTTATAGAGATGATTATTGTTGTGACATGTCAATATATTTTACTTTCTAGAAATGTCCATTTGAAGCCATCACTATAATCAACCTGCCAAGTAACTTGGAACGAGACACTACCCACCGCTACAGTGCTAATTCTTTTAAACTGCACAGGTAAAATTATAAGAAAAAGTCTATTCACCTGTTATTAATCCAAAGTGAGATTTTGTTGTTGTTGACCAGATGTTATTCAAGATGAAGTTGCTGTAGACTGTAAGAGTGAGGACTTTGTGTCATATTAGATATATGGTGATGACCATAAAGCTGGCTAAAGATAAAAATGACACATCCTTCAGAATAACAGCAAAGTTCCAGATGTCCGACCATTAAGTGTCCTGCTCTGTGACAAACTTTAAATGTCCGCTGCCATTGGTCGGAGTTTCAAGACAATAAGGAGCAGCTATGCCTGGTGTATCCTTTTTATGTTCTATAATGCTAAGTGTCCTTATGCAAATTTGTTGGTGTCTAAGGAAGATTTTACCATCTGTGTGGTCATTGAGGTCTTGGATCTGCGTTGTGATTCCTGTTGATCTCTAAAGGGCGCAGCCTTGAGTAGGAAACTTAACATATGGATGAGGTTAAGCAGTCGTGTGTAGGATTTGATGATTCCTTAGGTAGCCCAGGACCAGATAGATAGAATAGAATCTAGTTCATATCCTGTGTTTCGGCTTATATTCTGAAGCAAAAATATTGGCCAGCCTGGCCTTTATCCTGAAAAACCTGTATCCGTGTAACCCCTTTTTCAGGTACACTTGTATCCACAGGTTTCACTGTACTTCAGATGTGTACATGTCAGATACCCTGTGTATTTTTTCTATCATTGGTTCGAACCATTAACCACTAAATGTTATTTAAGATAAAATAACTCTGGTGTTTCTAAAAATTAAAAAAAAAACATCCAAAACAGGTTGCCTACACCTCGACCAGGTGAGGTCTTGGGACTTGTGGGGACCAATGGTATTGGAAAGTCAACAGCGTTAAAAATTTTGGCTGGGAAACAGAAACCCAACCTAGGACGTTTCAATGTAAGTTGTGCATCTTTTTTTAAATATATTTGTGCCAAAATATATAGTGAGATGTATGCATATGTCTGTGTACATGCACATGCCTGCACACATACAAGCAAAAAGAAATTAATATTTAGACTGGGGAAGAAAAAGTAATTGTGCCTTACTGTAAATTATTTACACCGCCATGGAATCCACTTCTTCAGCGATAACTTTCTGTGCATCTTCCAGTTCATAAACAGAATGATGAGGTATTTATACTAGTGCCTCATAGTTCATTGTGCAGGGTCGCTCCTATGGTAATAAGTCTGGATATTCTTATAAGTCATGCTGTGGAATTTGGTTTGGTGCACAACAGCTACACCAACAGCAAGACCCATTCATTATAAAAGTTTACATCATCCTGTTCTGAAAATTCTGGTCTGTAGTCAAGCCTTTTTCTTCTGTCTAGTTCATTTTTAAAGAATGTGTCTTTAAAGCTCTGAGACTGCTCTGGGTTCTCTGCAGCCTTTGCCAGCTAGTCTGCTTCCACTGATAACTAATTATGCTCATCAGAGAATGCGTCTGTATTGTAGGGGGGGTCGGATGTCAGGAGAAGTAAACTGACTCATGAATGGGCAGGGTAAAGGTGAATTGAGTCAGGAGGAGACCAGGAGAGTTTATGTTGGCTGGTTTGACATCATTGAAGGAAAACATCTGTATCAGAAATTACCAAAGCCATATGGCACAAGCTGTTAAAAGATAGATGTCAATATATAATATAGCTGCTGTTTGTTACATATAATGGTAGTTCTTTTTCAGGATTTTGAACTCGGATGTCACTTCCATTCATCGGTGTGATTTTTCCTTCTCTTTCTAGTTGCTGACTCTTAAGTGTGTATAGATATTTTCTCTCCATCATCTTGGTCTGGTTCCAGGTCTAATCTTCTTTGTCATCTTACATTCTCTATGTCCCAACTATTAAGTAAATTAGCATTCATGATACTAGTGATAAATGGGGATTTCAACAGATTATGAATTTCACTGTTGCTTCTCACTCTCTATTCCCTACTGTTTGCAACCTGGATATGTAAAAAAAAAAATTCACTATAAGACTGTTTTAAACAATTTAAGTTGTAGTCCATCTTTCAGGGCCATTTAAGACAGCAGGTCATATCAGCGTTTTGTATATTGTGATCTTGCTGTTACGAGATAGAACATTTAATATGTTGTAGGGCATAACATACTTTATTTCCAAATAGTAGTCCAGATTGTATCTTCTCTAAGTATTTTGAAGATTGTCCCCACTAGACATGACTTATCTAGTGTATATGCATGACATTTTTCAAACTGTATTCTTTTAACCTGTCAAGGACCCTCCTGACTGGACTGAAATCCTGGCATACTTTAGGGGGTCAGAGTTACAGAACTTCTTCACCAAAATCTTGGAAGATGATCTCAAAGCGTTAATCAAACCACAGTATGTGGACCAAATCCCCAAGGCTGTCAAGGTGAGTATTTAAAAGCTTCATATGAGGTTGTCAGCTCCGTCGTCGTCTTTTTAGCATTCACCAGCTGTGAACTCTGCTGAAAAGTTCTATGTCCAGTCCTGGTCTTTGTTCTTGTTTCAGAACTTGAGTTCTGCATGCACATCTATTTTACAGGTCTGGCGTATTTGTGTGCAGACTCTTGGTTCCTCGTCTCTGAGGCAGATTCACTCCTAACTTTAGAGAAAGTAGTCTATCATAACATCATATCATTCATTCTAGTTGGTTATGGCCTTTACCCGGTGCCATCTAAAGCATGTATAAAAATTATGTTCCCATTTATTTTTAATAGGTAAAGCTCAATTTTGATAAGTTAAGAGCCCAAATCTACAAATTTCTTGATGGTCCATAGATGCCCAGTTAGTTATTGGTTGTTGGTCGGGATTCCAACTTCACTGCAGGCAGGTTACCCAACTACTACTCAATTCCTGTGTCAATGGAAATCACACAAAATGTCCTTCACCAACCTGTTTGAAGGAAAAAAAAACAGTGAAAAACATAAGCCCCAGAAAAATCTTGATGCTTGCACATGCAAAATAAATGCATGAGGCAGACGTCAGATGTGCGGCACTCTCTCCCACCAGAATTGCAGCTTACTGTTTTTCGATGCTAGCAGTCAGTCATGAAATCTGCATTTGACCATGCAGTACTGCATAAGACACACCGTTCCAAAACATAATTGGCCATTAAACATTGTTAGTGCAGTTCACAACACATTTGCAACTGGCACAACCAAGAATAAATTTGACATGAAATATGCAGCTCACAGTGTCACATCAAGCACTCAGCTCAGTAGCTGGACAAAGGAAGGGTGCCAGGTTTAAAATGTGCACTAGATGTGAGCTTATAGTGTCGTTTGCCAAAGACTTGAGAAACACTGCTAACTTGTTCTTTGTTTCAGGGATCTGTGCAAAATTTTTTGGACAAAAAGGATGAAAGAAAGAACCAGATGGATGTTTGTGGACAGCTAGGTAGGTAATACAGGCATTACTGTAGTTGAACATCATACTCCGATTAGTTGCTTCAGTGATTTACCCCAGTTCTTGTGATTGTCAAATTTATTTTGCATACAGACATGACACTTTGAGATAATCCACATAGGTAGCGCACACACAAAATTTTAACACAGTAATCGCCCAGCAGTGAAAATGTATCTGCACGTCCAATATTTGTGATCATTACGGTAGCAATTACAGGAATTCTTTCTTCTTCTTTGCGTTCACCAGCTGTACACTCTGGCGGAAAGTTCTGGTTGCTCGTCCATTACTGAACTGCAGTCCTGCTCCAGAACCTGAGTGTTGCATGTGCATCAGTTTTACAGATCTCATTCTCTTGAATACAGACTGTTGGTTCCTTGCCTCTCCGGCAGATGCACTCCGACCTCAAAGGAAGCTCCCCAAAAAGTCGACTCTTACGACATGCTTTTATGAAGGCAGTCTATTCTTGTTTCCCACAATTGGGCCCCGGAACCCACACCGGGGATTACAGGAAATGAAGCATTCGGTTTTTAAGAATTATGCACCATGGTTTGCTCATAAAAAAACATTCAGGCATGCGTGCCATTTGCACTTGTGGGGGGGGTGTTGTGGCTTACAGTGCCAGGTGTTGTCTGTGGTACCCATTGTGTGCAGATCGTTTATTTTTTGTCAACAACCTCTTGAACAGCCCTAACTGACACATCAAATTTTTTTGCAAGGGAATATATGCTTAGACAGCAGTTCACTTTATTGCTGCATCAGTTTTGGTTGTGGGTTTTGTCTCTGTCTTACTGCTAACAGCCTTGAGCCACAGATTGTCATTTAGTCTGAACTTTGGTCAGTGTGCTTTATTCAATTTTTCAATGTTTTAAATGTACATTATCACTCATGCATCTGAATGAACTGTTGAGTGCCAAATATCTTCTGGACACTGTGAAAAGCAGTACATAGCCTGTTACTGTCACAGACTAGGTATGATGTATCCCCTCATATACAGTACAACTGCCTTAACTCTTCTCAAACAGGACCATAAATACTGTACCACTTTCATGGACTTTACTATTGTGTGTTCCTTTAAGTTAAGTTGTTATGGTTAATGATTCAAACAAAATGCTGTTCACATTCTTAACATAAAATGTGGAGATTTTATTGTTATGAAACCATGACTAAATCAAAATTATTGTGGGTGAATGTATTTTTACAAAACACAGATTATGTGTGATTCCTAAATGACATGATTTATGTTGATACAGTGTTCATATTTTGGGACATTAAATGTGAATATTTATTTTAGTAGGATGCTGTTTATGAATTTTAGTTGTGTATTTGATTTGCATCTGTAAATCATATAGAAAGAGGTGGGGGTGGTCAGTTCAGCACTCTACTACAAGATTTGTAAGAACCGTAAAACACAATAACAGAAATACTTGCTAACATATTGACCGTGCGACCGATATCTACACATAATTTACCTAAAATCTACATAAACTTGAACTGTATGACTGAGGGTGATCAAATTTTACATGTGGCTGAGCAAAAATGTGTCCTTCCAGTGCTTTGAAAGTTATACATTTAGTACTCTTTGGTAAACACTGACATTTGAAATTGCTGGTGAAAGATCATGAATGAATTGGCATAGATCCGCAGTTATCGAGCTTGTACATGGTTGCGAAGAGACAGGGTTGCCTGCTCTACCTAATATGATATGTGACGAATTATTTGGCTGTTTCAGATCTGATGAATGTACGTGACAGAAACGTTGAAGATTTGTCAGGAGGGGAGCTTCAGCGATTTGCTATAGCAATTGTTTGCATTCAGGATGCAGACATGTAAGTAGTTTTATTGTAAGTTTTCCATGGTTGCACTGTCTGTCTGCTATGTGAAATCGCTTTTTTAGATTTGTGATTAGTCAGATTGAGATACATAATTAGCACATCTGTTTTGACTGACTGACTCTCTACCCCACCAGGACATCACACAAGCGATAAACACCCGATGATACAAAGTGCCACCATGTGGATGAGGATCACCGCGGAAAGGTCCCAGAAACTGCGTTCAGATTTTGGCCATATTGATGGCCTGCCTATATTGCGACCCCTAGAAAAAGCCAGAGTGGGGCTTCAAATTACAAAAAATTATGTCTTTTTTAGGACGTATGGAATGAAAGGACACATCTGTTTTACAGAATTGGCTTATTTGTATACACTGTTGGTTGCTTGCCTGTCAGGCAGATGCACTTTGACTTCAAAGGCTTCCCCTAGTTAGTCAAATCCTACGACATGCTTGTTGGGGAAGTAGTGGGTCTGTTCTTGTTTGCCCCACAATATGGCCACAGAACCCACACAGTTTAGCAGTACAAAGTTCATCTCAGTATAAGATAGAGAGGAGTGAAGAGAGAGTTGTGATCAGAACAAAGTTCATCTCAGTATAAGATAGAGAGGAGTGAAGAGAGAGTTGTGATCAGAACAAAGTTCATCTCAGTATAAGATAGAGAGGAGTGAAGAGAGTGTTGTGATCATCACTCTGCTTAAACCTGGTATGGGGAGTTTCGGTTTTTAATTTGTTGTGGAACTCAAATGTTGCAGCAGGTCTGATAATTTTAATAGCGTCACTAAACTTATTGTCTTCCCTCTTGTTCTTGTGTATGCCATTTTTGTCTTCAACTACATGTACTTTACATTTGCAGTTTCATGTTTGATGAGCCGTCCAGTTATCTGGATGTAAAGCAGCGTCTCAAGGCTGCCCAAGCCATCCGCAGCCTGATCAGCCCAGACAAATACATTATTGTTGTGGAGCATGATTTGTCTGTCCTGGACTACCTCTCTGACTTCATATGCTGCTTGTATGGTGTGCCTGGAGCCTATGGTGTGGTGACTATGCCTTTCAGCGTGAGAGAAGGTAGTTTTGTGTTCCAGTATGTTTAAGTAATGTATGGTGAGGGCTTACTTTTGAAAAAAAATTTTTTTAATAATAAAAAAAAAAAAGCTTATTGTATCAAGTACAGTACTTGTATATTTAACTAGTCATCTACTTACATCACATTGAACCTTAAAACTAGTAGATCAGGTAAATATGTTAGCTAATTGGGGGGGGGGGGGGGGCTTCTGCTTATGTTGTATATATTTTTCCTGTTGCCATTTGAGCAGGTTTGGTTTTATTATTCCCACAGCACGCATTCTCATTTATTCTGTGGTCTAAAGTGCAGATCTTGGGGGATGTGCATTGTTGTGAAATTGTGTCTTGTGTGTGTGTCTCACATAATTTTACTAAAACCTTAATGAAGCCATCACAGTACACAGTGCAGCCTTTCCTTCTCAAAAAGAATATATGGGTAGTTTAACACCGCCATGGTGAAATGTAAAGTAAAGCAGTGGACAGTGATTAGTGGTTTATTGGAAAGAATTCATTTGTATGCTTCATTTTATGTTGGTGTAGACTGTATAGTGTGTACCTGATTTACAGCAACATATGTCAGGCAATAAGACAGTTTATTTGAGTGTTTTGGTTACTTTATTTATGCTTTAGGATTTTTCTGCTATTGCTGCTTGATCACCTGTAAATTTCATGGCATACATATATGCAAAATTTCCCCAATAACCTGTTTTATAATAGGATTTTTTTTAAATAATCAAATTAGGAATCAACATCTTTCTTGATGGCTTTGTGCCCACTGAAAACTTGCGATTCAGAGATACCTCACTGACCTTCAAAGTTGCAGAGACTGCTTTAGAGGAGGAGATTAAGCGAATGTGCAGATATGAGTATCCAAAGATGTACAAAAAGTTAGGTGAGTAAGACGTCAGTCATTATTAATAAGTTAGGGACACTAACTGACACACACATATAATCTTTTTATTGCAATTCTTCTTATGGAAATGGTTGATGATTAAAACTCTTTGCTGTTCACATTCTTAATTTACACATGTGGACAAATAAACTGGAATGAAACCATTACTGCTGTAGCCATATATAAATGCTGTTTTAAAACTGATGTTTCTGTGTGTCTTAAATGTGTATTTGAATGATTGCATACATTTGTGGATTGTCACAGACACATTTTCCACTCCCTTTAGTCTTATTGTGCTTATAGTGTTAGGTCTGTATTTGATAGACCAGTGGGTGATGTGGGCAACATCACGCCGGCCGCATTTACTTCTCGGATCTTGGGCTGGACCTGCCTGGAAGCTTCGGTCCTTTGTGAAGAAGAAAACATCCAACTACACTGTGGCTGGGATTGTGTGTAGATTTGTTGGAATATTATAACGTTAAGTTTGTAACTTCTTGCCACTTCTCGTTTCACTAACATAACATCTGGAAAAAGATTCATCTCCCCTCCCTCTCCCGTGTGATTTATTTCAATGGTTGATGATTATAAAACTCTTTGCTGTTCACATTCCGAATGCACTTATGTCGACACTTAACACTGAGATGAAACCATTGCTGGTCAGATAATGTTGTAGTTGTATTTCTGTTTGTGGTTATATTTTATGTCGAATAGTTTTGTGTGTGCTTACGCACATGGGCACTTTTGCCTCGCATTGTTTGGTTTCCTGTAGGATGGAATTAATTAGTAATCAAGGTAAAATAAAATTGCATCGTGCTTAGAGCATCCACATTGCAAGGCTGACTGCCTGATCAACTGACCTCTAATCCATAGCATACAACTGGCAGCATGCGGGCCCGATCTGGCCCTTAAACGTCTAGCAGGTGGCCTGCGGATCATTGCCTGTTGTATTGTATTGGTCTTCCTACACTGTAGCTCGGACCTCTTGTTGATCCATATTTTGAACAGTTTGGCCCATGATTAGGCTTAATGTAATAGCCCTGGCCTACAGAATATCCCCATTTGACGTCAACTTTAGTATGAAGGCTTTAATGATAGATACAGCACTCTGCATACCAGCACCTCCTCTTCCCAAACTGATTACAAATGGTTAATGATTAAAAACCTGTTGCTGTTCACATTCTCAATTCACCTATGTGGACATACACCTAAATGAAACCATCACATTGTTATTTTAGTTGTCTGTTTAAAAAAAAAAAATTTTTGTTTTTTATTTAAAAAAACTAAATTGAACACGTGTTATGCGGCCAGACAGACTAGTGGTTTCTGCTGACCAAGCAATAACCAATCCCATAAGTGACAATTTCCATGTCTCCAGCCTACACAGGTTTTTACCTAGAGATCTGTTTATTCTTGTAAGGCACGTCAGGCAGCAGAATGGAAAGAAAAAATTTGTGAACGTGTTTTCAAGGCAGTAATATTTCAAAGAACTCTGCTTATTCTTTCTTTCAGGAAACTTTGAGCTGAGGATAGATCCTGGCCAGTTTACTGATTCTGAAATCATTGTCTTGTTGGGTGAGAATGGTACGGGCAAAACAACCTTCATTAAGATGTTGGCAGGCCGCCTGGAACCTGATGGTGGAGGTAATTAATGTATGTTTAAAAATTGTCAGTTTTGCTTTGTAATTTTATAATTATTTTCTCTGACTTTTGTTGTGGCTGCTGCACATCTTTTCCACCACCGCTGAGCTGCCTGTTCTGAAATTGTATCATTCAAAATCATTGCAGATTTAGCTAAGAGCCGCCATCGTAAGATAAATGTTACTTTTAAATATCGGGGGTGAGGAGGGGGGGGGGCAGTGATTGTATCGCCCCAGAACTCAGAGGGAGAAAACTTACTTCCAAGCATTGTTAATATAGTGCATAATTATATCTAAATGTATAACAGTATATTTATTACCTTACTTCTGGCTGTATTTTTGGTTGACTCATTTTGATTGCTGATTAAAGACCAATTGCAGCATTCATGTGTTATCTGTGCATCTTTCACTGAGTTTCCTACTTCCATTATATTTGTTCTGTCATTTTTTTTTAGCTCAGGCACAGTTGCTAAGAATTATTTGTTTGTTACAAGTATTTCTAAATATTAAACTTTCCTAGGTAGTACAGAAGAAATTTTGGCTATCCTCCGAATAAAGGTCCTAAATTATTGAGGCAGAAAATATACCCTAACAGGGCCTCAGTCACGTGTCCATTGCGCACTTTCGGCGATATGCTTAGGTAGTACAGAAGAAATTTTGGCTATTCTCCGAATAACGGTCCCAAATTATTGAGGCAGAAATTATACCATAACAGGGCATCAGTCACGTGTCAAGTGCACACTTCTGTCGTTTTAAATTGCGCACTTCCACCGAGAGTGTCCCCCACGCAGCGTGGATTGGGGCTAAACTGTATGGCTAGGACTCAAGAGCAGCATCTACCGTATCTCCTGCAGCTTCCTTCATTTTATTTGCTTGTGAGTCCTAGCCATCTAGTTAAGCCACAATCCACGCAGCGTGAGAGGCATGGGGGTCACTCTCGGCGGTGGCAGAAGTCACCGGAAGTTTTCAAATCGGCGGTGGCGTTATAGTCCCCGGAAATGCGCAATTGACATGTGACTAAGGCCCTGTTAAGGTTGATTTTTCGCCTCGATAATTTAGGACCGTTATTCGGAGGATAGCCAAAATTTTCCATAGCATGGGTCATCAATCAAGGAATATATATTGTTGGTAACAAAGTAACTGGTCAGCAACAACAGTAATTGGTTAGGATACCATGGTCCAAGCATGCAGTTATCTGTTACTGAAAAGATGCACCACACAATTTCACTGTTGCTTTGAGAAGTTTGCCAGACTGTTTGCTCATGTTACGTCAGAGATTCACAGAGTTTGCTAGTTTGAAAGAAGACTAGACTTCTCTAGGCTGATTTACTTGATAGCATTTAAAGTGACTGCACTGTTGCAGGTGAGATCCCTATTCTAAATGTGAGCTACAAACCACAAAAGATCAGCCCTAAACACCAAGGCACTGTCCGACAGCTGCTCCATGAACGCATTCGCGATGCATATGTCCACCCACAGTTTGTCACTGATGTACTGAAGCCCCTACAGATTGACCCCATTTTTGACCAAGAGGTGAGTAATTAAGTTTTAGTATTTTGGCTTAGTTTCAAAATGCAGTCATTGGGTGAATTTTCTCAAATTTATTTTGTTCCCGTTTCTTTACAGCATTCTCTCTTTTAACTCTTGTTTGGCACAGTTTTTTTCTCCCTCTGATACATCAGGTCTGTTTGATTTTACCCATTTATCTGATTGTCTGAAGCACTTGCATGAATTCAGTACCATTGAATACAGATGAGGTAAAGATTATATAAGTGTAGGTACTACAGAAACCAACTTTGTACATTTTACTTGTCCAGTGATGAAATTCTGTCATGCACCACTCAGACATTGTTGTATGTTGAGAAACAGACACCACACCAAGTTTTAATCTGAGGACATTTCTGCTTCCAGTAATTATAATTTTTAGTTAAGAAAAATAAATGCTAATGCAGGAAATTGATACTTAGAAATTAAGATAAATAGTTTTGGTACAGCCATGGATGGATCGTCTAAATTAGGATTTACCTACTTAGGATTGATTCTACTCGTAGGCTTTTTGCAGCAACACAATCTGTTTCAATTTCTTGTTAGCCTCAATAATTTACCCAATTCCAGTTCATTAGATACTATACTGTCCATTTATTGCCTTCTTGGATTCATATAGTAATTTTTTTTGTTTAAATTACTTTGCCCTATTAATAAGTGCTGATGTGTTCGTGGCAAACCTAATTTGATCAGTGTTGGTATTTAATATATCTTGTGTGAGTTTTTACCCAAATATCTGATTAACCGAAGAACTTACATGAATTAAGTACCATTGATTGGAGGGGGTGTAGAGATTATATGGAGATTATATGTGTAAGTATAGCACAACTGACTTTGTACACTTTTTGCTTGTCCAGTGATGAAATTCTGTCATGCACCACTCAGACGTTGTATGGTGAGAAACAGACACCTCACCAAGTTTATCATTCTGAGGACATTTCTGCTTGAAGTATTTGATTTGTTTCGGGTCATACAAACTATGAGCATTGCTGATGCAGGAAATAGTCTGACTTTTGGACATTGTTGATTGTCTAAACACTGTTTCTCTTTAGTCTTGATGATGTCACTCAATTGAGAGATGTTGATGCTGCACTGTCCACCTTTGTTTTCTAGAATTCATGTTTATGCTGATTTTTATTTTTTTACTTGAACAGTAAGTTAGGAGTGTAAACATGGATTCATATTATTACTGGTGTTTTTATGTTTGCTGTGCAACGTTAAGTTAGTTGTGTATGCTTTACAAGACATTGTGAATTACCTGACACTTTGGGTTTTTACTTGGTTTTCTTCTTCTTTACGTTTTATAGCTGTAAAATCCAGCGTAAAGTTCTGGTTGTTTTTCCATTTCTTTACTTCAAGTCTTGTTTCAGCACTGGAGTTTTCTGTGTACATCCGTTTTACAAATGTGGCTGTTGGTTCCTTGCCTGTCAGGCAGATGCATTCCAATGAAACCCCTGATTTGTTGACTTTTATGATTTGTTTGTTTGGGGGGGGAGGGTGGCAGGACAGTGGACCTATTCCTCCCTCTCTCTCCCTCCTTCTCCTCCCCCCCAATCCTTGGAACCCACATAATAATAGTTTTCGATTGCTTTTTAAATGGTATGCTTGACCAAAACATTGTGGAAATCAAAGCAAAGCAGTCTGTTGACAAGTAACCTGCACCTGTTTTGAACCAAGCATTTTGAGATTACAAATCACATTTGTAAACCTCAGTCGCTGGTATGCTGTGCCTTTTTTTTGTTCTCATGTGCTCAAATATTCCGCATTGCCAACCTATTCTAATCTAATGGTTTTCATAACCATGACCATTGTTGGGTATTTTGTACATCTGTGTGATGTTACCCAAATATCTATTTGTCTGGGGACCTTGCATGAATTCGGGACCCTTTGATTACAGGCGAGATAAAGATGATATAAGTGTAGGTACGGTAACTAACTTTGCACATGTTACTCATCCAGTGATGAAATTCTGTCATGCACCACTCAGACATTGTTGTATGGTGAGAAACAGACACCACACCAAATTTATTATTCTGAGGTTGTTTCTGCTTGTAGTATTACATTTTTGTATGTTAGATAATGTTTTTTGGAAAGATGCTAGTACATGAAATAGATATTTGGATAGTTTAAGTACAGCCATTGGATGTCATTTAAATACCCGCCTGTGATTTATTTTGCTCGTAGGCTTTTTGCAGGAATACAGTTTCCATTTTTAGTATCCATAATGTTGTCTATTCCAGAACATCATATGCAAGACTGTCAGTTCTCTTCTTTCTCTTCTTTTCTCTACTCCTGGAATCCCTCACGGCTTCAGGGGATGAAGAGATCTCTAGAACGGGCTCTTCTGTTTGCTTCATATAAAGTACTTTTAAGTGCCTCTGATATTTCTGCGGTCCATTTTCTGCATTTGGACCTCTCGATCTGTTACTGTTGTATCTGTATAACATTGCTCTCTGTGTGCCCTGTTTGCTGCCAGTCTTGTTACATGGCCAAACCATTTGATTTGTTGTCTACCTATACAGTTCAGTATTGGTTCTGTGCTGATTCTCCTCCTGATATCATCATTCCTAAGTTGGATCTTTCCTCGTCAAACCTAGCTTAGTACGTAAACATTTCATTTCTGTTTTCCGTTTTCTGGGGACATTGTCCATGTTCGACATTGATAGCAGAGTGTTGGTAATATTGTGTTAAACAGTGTTCTTTTAGTGTTCATATTCATATGCTTGCATTTCAAAATTGGTGCCATTTGGCCTAAAACTTGATTGGCTTTATTGCATCTGAATTCAGTACCATTGATTAGAGGAAATGTACAGATTTAATGTGTAAGTACAGCACAACTGACTTTGTACACATTTTGCTCGTCCAGGGATGAAATTCTGTCATGCACCACTCAGACATTTATTGCTGTATGGTGAGAAACAGACACCACACCAAAATTATTGTTCTGAGGACATTTGTGCTTGCAGTATTTAATTTTGTAGTTTAGGGTCTTCAAATTATGAGCATTGCTGGTACAGAGAAAAGATACTTAGAAATCTTGATAGAGGTTTAACACAGCTATTTGTAGTTAGTATAAATGTCATTGATTTTTTTTCCTTTTAGCGTCCTGTCATTAACACTGTCAGTTTGTTGTTTCTCTTTAGCCTTGATAATGTCACCAGATTCAAAGACATCAGATTCAATGCTGCCCATCTTTCTTCTTCTAGGATTTATGTTAATGCTGTTGTTTTGTTTAAATTTATGTTTGTTTATTGTTCTCATTTTGCTCAGTTATTTGTGTATTCTCAGACTAATTTTGGTTCATTAATGCCATTTCTGGTTCAGTAGTTTACCATTGCTGTTGACGGTCTGCGCGACCATAGATTTGTGAAAATCAGTTGAACCAAGTATTTTAGAATTACAAACCGTGCGCCTAAGCCACAGGCAATGGTGACCTGTGCCATATCTGGTGTTACCCAAATATTTAGTTGTCTTGAGAACTTGCCTGAAATCACATTAAATGCAGGCGAGATCAAGATTATGGGTACAGAAACTGACATCAGTATTTTTGTGTGTGTTGTTTGTCCAGTGATGAAATTCTGTCATGCACCACTCAGACATTGTTGTATGGTGAGACACAGACACCTCACCAAGTTTTAATCTGAGGACATTTCGGCTTCAAGTATTTAATTCTTGTATTTAAAAGAATATTGTGGAAAATACTAAAACAGGAAATAGATATTTTAGAAATGTGGATAAATGCTTTTGGTACAGCCATGGATAGCCTGCATCACCCAGTCAGGATTTATTCTGCTTGTAGGCTTGCAGCAACTCCATTTCTGTTTGCAGCAACTCCACTTCTTTTTGCAGCAACTCCACTTCTTTTTGCAGCAACTCCACTTCTTTTTGCAGCAGCTCCATTTCTTTTTGCAGCAGCTCCATTTCTATTTGCAGCAACTCCATTTCTGTTTGCAGCAGCTCCATTTATTTTTGCAGCAACTCCATTTCTTTTTGCATTCATAGTGTCATCCCATTTGAGGAACATCAGATGCAATACTGCCAGTTTACTTTTTATTGGATTCATGTTATTCCAATTTTTGTAGTGTGGTGGTGTAACATGTATTGTCTGTAACCTGTTTGTCTGTGCTCAGGTATTCTACATGGCAAACTACTGGATTTGACATTGATCATTATTATCATTTTGTATATTTTGTGTGGGATTTTACCTGATTATCTGAAGAACTTGCATGAATTCACTACTGCTGGAGGTGATGTACGTTTGGATACAACTTTGTACACATTTTGCTTGTCCAGTGATGAAATTCTGTCATGCACCACTCAGACGTTGTATGGTGAGAAACAGACACCTCACCAGATTTATTGTTCTGAGGACATTTCTGCTTGAAGTTATACATTTTAGCTAAGGTTGATAGTTTTTATGGTTTTTAACTGGTTTCTACGAAAATTCTCTATCTCTTTCCACCAGACTTTACCATAAAATGCTCAACATAGTAAGAAAAGGTCACTATTTCACACATTGAGATATCTTGTGTGTATACTACTGACCCACATGTTTGTATTGACCAGTCTACACTTGGTGGGTAATATGGCCGGTAACACAGTAGCTTCTTTTGCTTCGAAAAAAATTATGGCTTGAATGTTGTGAACATTTTTAATGCTGCATGCCGAGTTCTTAACGCTTTGAAAATCAAATTCTTTTGTTCCCAATAAATTCTATTTTGCCCATATGCTTAGTGCACCTTAAAGTCCTTGCCAATATGATTTTTTTTTAATTTAAAAAAAAAATCCTTTGCCTCGAGCAAGATTTGAACACATGACCACTGACCAGCAGGTAAGCGTACTATAGTAGTCACTGGCTACTACAGCCTACCAGATATACACTATCAATAGTAGCTGATCTGGTTTCGTTTTACTTAAATTTCCGAGGTCTAGTGATCTTAATTCTTGATTCAGTCATTCACCTGCTATCAAAAATCCTTGACCACATC